CTGTTATCTAAGGTTTCGAACGCTCCAGAGCGAGATTTGATTGTAACTTTCCTGCCACCATCTTCGGGAGCTCTGCGTCTGTATAAAGGGTAGCCATTGTCATTGTGCACTGTTTCTTTTAATAGCTGTTTAGGGAATTTCTTTGTACATTTTCCTTCTTTCATACATGGCGATATTGAATTTCGTGCTCCACATGGACCGTGAATCATATTTCGGACGATGGTATCATACAATTCTTTATCTTGCTCAGGATCCGGAATCTCGGCGCTTATTATGTCGTCTATTTGGCTGGGCCGCAACTTCTCTTTAAGCCATATTAGAATGTGGGCATGCGGTAATCCTCTTTTTTGCCATTCAATTGAATACATGAAGCACTGCACCTCTCCGAAAATTTTCCCTTTGTTAATTACATACATTAATTTTTGTACTTTTAATCTAAATACTCTAGCAACTAAATCGTGTCTGTCAGTACTTTTTTGGCCCGGCATTAGCTCCTCGGTTATTTCTTTCCATGTGGGATTGCAAGTAAAAGTAACAAAAAGATCAGGTCTTCCGTAAGTTCGTACATAGGCGAATGCGTCTTGTGTGTACTCATGTAGGTAGCGGGGACTGTTAACGAATGATGAGGGCAGAATTACCATTTTACCTAAATCTCTGGGGTTTACATTGGCGTCGCTAGAAACTGCATCTTGTAAATGTATATAATTCTCAACGCGCAGCTTTTTTTGATTTAAAGATATATAACGGAGACGTTCACTTTCTACCTTCACATACATGTCTACCAAAAATTGATGAAATAATTGTCTACACCGGGCTAAGAGGTTAAAATCATTTTCTCGCAACATCATATGATACGCATAAAAATCCATACATGATACTTTTTTGTTCGGAGTAGGCTCCTTTGTGACCGGGTTAATGAGTGGAATTTGAAAATGATAACCCTCTTGTCCTTTGCAATAAATCAATGGGTATTGCAGAGCGTCATAAAACTTGTGTGTATCGGCTACCCGTTGCAACGTATCATCACGTGCTCGCAAGACAATGTCTCGTGAAGAAAATTGATCACCACTAATTACGGCTGCTATTTCGTTTATCAAAGGTGCATTGTAGCGCCTTTCATGCTCTCCTCGAGGGGTCCGATCTGCGTGAATGACGACTTTATAATCCTCTTCAGGTAGGTTTTCTAAAGCAGTTTTAAATGTTTTGACTAAAATGTTACGTTCATGCAAGAATCTTTGAATTTTGAACACTGTGTCTCTCTCAACTCCCTGGATAAATTGGCAGCGACGGTCTACCTCAATTTCTTCGTCACCCATAAAATATACTTGTAAAAATTTATGCTGTTCGTTTTCAGCTGGAAAAAGTGAACCTATTCTATGATAAATTTGCCCTTGCACCGTAAATGTAGGCGAAAATCCCGGCATTATTATTTCCCGGTCAACTCCGAAGGACGTCATTTGAAAGCATGAGTTATATTTCCGGATCCTGTTTAAAAAGCGCCGTGACTCATTAGCATCATATAAAAAGAGAGTTTTCAAAGGTTCTTCTGGTTCCCCAAGTAACGGAAGAGACACTTTGCCATCGGAACAGCACATGCCTGCGGTCTCATCTTTCCATTTTAAAGCGCTGCAAAATCGACACGCCTTGTCCATCAGTCCGATAACAACTAACCTGTGATTTTTATAATCAATCAACGGATCATAATTGAATGCTGCGTCATTAAAAACCGACCAATTGTTTCTTTGAAAATTTTGTCGACGTTCAGCTTGGAGCTGTGCATTTGCATCTCTTCGCGCCTGTGTCTGTTCTGGTGTTTCAGATGCCCTTATAGTAGATTGACGTTCAGCTTGCTCAATGAGTCTGTGTTGAGTTTCATCAGGTGTTTCCGCGGCTCTTAAGGCGGCCTGACGTTCCGCTTGTTCGAATAGTTGCCTTTAGCAGTTTTCATCTCTTATAATTACCTCCCTGTTCAAACGCCTTTGCTGACTTTGATCAGGTGTTTCAGTAGCTCTTAAAGTAGCTTGACGCTCTGCCTGTTCAAGACGCCTTTGCTGACTTTGAGCAGGTGTTTCAGTAGCTCTTAAAGTAGCTTGACGCTCTGCCTGTTCAAACGCCTTCCAGGTTCAGAAGCTCTAAAGTAGCTTGCCGCTCTGCCTGTTCAAGACGCCTTCCCTGACTTTGAGAAGGTGTTTCGGAAGCTCTTAAAGCAGCCTGACGCTCTGTCTGTTCAAGACGCCTTTGCTGACGTTGAGAAGGTGTCTCAGATGCTCTAAAAGCAGCCTGACGCTCTGCTTGTTCTTGCCTTCTCAGTTCAGCATCTTCTAAAGATTCTAGCGATCAAGCTAATCTTTTCGCTTGTCTTTGAGAAGATACTCTTGAAAGGCTGGACTTACGTTTGCGAGGCATTATGAAGTAACAAAAAACCTATTTATAAAAAAAACGTTAAAATACCTAAAAGAAATTAAATTTCCTTTTAAATATTTTTTAAAAGCAAATCAAAAATATCTAAAAGGAATAAATATTCCTTTTAAATATTTTTTAAAATCAAAACAACAAAACCAATTCAAGACACAACACGAATCCGAAAACGATAGCCAAAAAAAAATCGAATCAACTTAAACCAAATCACAAAACAAATCGCAGAAAACCGAAATCGAAAGCAGTAGTCAATATAAATATAACCAACGAAAAAAGAAGTAAGTGTATAGGTACCGTATACACTATCTATACTATTAATATTCCTTTGAAATATTGTTAAACAACCTAAAACAACGAAAACCAATTCACGATTCTAAATAAACAAAATCCAAAATCAAAGCCAGAGTCTAAATATGTATAAAGGAATACCAACCAAATCAACAAAACCGATCCAAGAAAATACACAAATCCGAAAATGAAAGCCAATATAAATCCATTCAACCTTAACCAAATCACAAAGCAAATAACAAACAACCGAAATCGAAAGCAGGTAGTCGAATAAGCTACGAAATAGAAACAATTTAAGCGTATAGGTACCGTATGCACTATAAGTTGACGCGCGGCTCAACGGCGGGAGTTAAGTACATGTCAGGAAACATTTCGTTACCGCGTTTTAAAAACCTAGTCGTTACTAGGTTACATCTAGCGGAATCAATTTAAACTATGTATACGTTAGTTAATAAGAACTCTCAAAAAATATTTTTCTTATAATTTTGCACAATTTTTCTTATTGTAATACCGATTCATTCATAACCACATATAAGAACTGTATTCATTTCCGTTCAATAAATATTACTAAGGCTTAATAAGGCTTACTAAGAACTGTTTCTACCACAGTTAAGTAATAGTTAAGGGTGAAAGCGTGACAGGTGGTGATAGTATTTCTGATCCATACTTATAATCAAGCCTGTAACCCTTGCGGGGTAGGCAGAGCATCAACGGATTACTTAATATCGTCTGCGAGGTTATCGCCTATTCTGTGAATTACAATGCACCAAAACGTTTGAAGAAAATCAGCTGGTGAATTTTATGTTTTTTATCGCTCTCTTCCCGGTCCTGCGTGGAAAAATACAGATCCATACATTTTTTATCTTAATTTTGGTAAAAAGACATAATAATCCAGATATTCTGACCTTCTGTGTTCGTCCATCGTACCATCGTCCGTCTTGTAGAATCACGGTGGCGCCACCTAGCTGAATTTAATTTTGCAACATATTCGATTTTCCCACGGGAATAGATATGTTTTTCCGCTGAAAAAAGTAGCCTATGTCACTCTACAGCCACCGAACTATCCCCATACAAAAAATCATGCCATGCCGACGCTCTGTTGCGACGTGAAAGAAGGACAAACTTGTGCAACATATTCTATTTTCCCACGGGAATAGGCTAGAGTGACTACTTTTTCCGCGGAAAAAGACATCTCATTACCAAAATTCATGCCATGCCGACGCTCTGTTGCGACGTGAAAGAAGGACAAACAAACAAACAAACACACTTTCGCATTTATAATATTAGTTGGGATAATATTAGTATGGATTAGCAGGCAGACTTATTTCTCCAGCATATGCTGTAAGAAAGATTAGAAGTCTAACCAATGTTGAGACAGCTAGATTAGTTTATTTTAGTTACTTTCATAGCATAATGACTTATGGAATCTTACTATGGGGTAATGCGATTGACATTGAAGTCATATTTGTTTTGCAAAAGAGAGACGTACGGGCGATTTACAACTTAAATTGTAAAGTACAGTAAGAAAAATTTAAAGAAATAAACATATTAACTTTGGCATCACAATATATTTACTAAAATGCAATCTATGTACATAAAAACATAAATAACTTTCATAAGAATAAAGATGTTCACACTTTAAACACTAGGAACAAACATAAGCTCGTAATACCAGTTACTACACAGAATTAGTAATTCATTTATGGGGCAATATATACATACGCTTTTACAACAAAATCCCAGAATATACACAAAATTTCTCGTTAAACAAGTTTTAGTGTTTTATTAAAGAAAAATTGTACAAAAAGGGTTATAATAATATAAATGAATACATAAATAAAATAACCCCTGGGAACGAGGTGATCGCCACCATGCTGGTTCTATAAAAAATCATTCGAAAATGGTAACAAAATAAACTTATTGTAAATTTAAATGTGTTTAAAAAAATTCCCTCTGGGTTTCTTGCTGGTTCTTCCCAGGACAGAGTTTTTTTTTTGCGAACCAGTGGTAAATTAAAAAATGACTTGATATGTATTTTATATTAATCTATGTTGAATAAAATCATTCATTTCATTTCATTGGCTTTCGCAACCAGATAAGTGACCTTCGATCATATTGGAGTAATTAGGACCTGTGATTGTAATCAGACTTGGATATCACCAATTAATGCTGTACTAAAGAAACCAACGAGAACAGGCCGGCCATATACACTTTTATATAGCCATATACAATTTAAATGATAGACACAAAAAATTTACACATATAATAAGATCTTAAAATTAATCATCAAGGTCTCAATTATGATCTCTTAAGAACCCTTCCACTGTGTTGGCTTGTCTCGATAGCTTCAAAGCAGCATATCTTCGATGAGGGTCAGTCAGCCAGTCATAGCTTCCGGTTCTAGCTGTCACAAGCTTTGATATTGTCACACGCATCAGTTCCATTTTGTTTACCATTGTGCGCAATTTTCTGTAAAATAAAATAGTGTGGTAATGAGTGCCTCCAACGCTTTTTCTGCCACTAGGGCAACCACCTTGGAATGAGGTGAAATATCTGACAAATTTGATAATAGGGAAGTTAAAATTGTTAGATGTGTCTTTAATGTTTCTTTATTAAATTTTATAATAAATTGAAAATGGATAAACCAAACTACAAATATACCTTAAAGTAGTTCAAAATTTGCAAAAAAAATTAAAAAGAGCACACCACTAAGGCATTATTTTGAGTAGGTATGCACTATAAACTGAAAAACTTTTATTAAAAGCGACATCTAGTGAGCGGAATATTATTAGCCCTCATTGGTGATGGTTTACTATGGCCAATGTTGTTCCGCTGAGAATTCATCACAGCATTTCGCCATGTGGATGTCGAAGATGCAAGAATATGTCATGACCTCTGACAGATGTTAAATACCTTCAGCTTTGAAGCTGCAATAATATGGTGAGTCTGGTGATACAACTTTATCTGGATGTGAGAAAAATAGCTTGGATTCTGTTGAAATTCGCTTCAGCAGTGTCAGATTGCCAGTGTATGATTACCATGTCTATTATCCAATTAGTGAACCAGACTATGAAACCTACATATAATACAACTGCAAAAAGGTGTAAGGCAAGGTGACGTTATATTTACGAAAGTCGACATCAATGGCGAGTACATCACTCATTTTCAATTTGCCAATGATATTAGTCATTGTGGCAGAATCATTGGAGAACCTAACAAACTATACTCATGACCTCAATATTGTCTCCCAATTAATGGTGAAAATAAAAATGGACAAGACAAAGGTATTTTATTTATTAATTTATTCTAACGTTTTCCATATTTACTACACCGTACCAAATAACTTCCACTTTTTATACTCTTCCCATCCTTGGTCTGGTTATTTTAAACCTAGTAAGAGGGGTTGTTTCTTTTTGCTGCTTGCCGCTTTTGTTCGGATGTCTACTTTACCATCTTACTATCAAGTTAGATACCATCATCATATCATCTTGCAATAGGTAGTACGTACCAATTTCAATATATAGTATAGTATAATAAAGAATTGTGTAGTGGTGGCTACCTACTACTACCCCATAACATTCCGTTGGTAACGTAACTAAGAGACGACAGAAGGGAACAAATCTGGATATGGACAGCAGTGTCTTCCTAATAACTAACAAAAATAGAAAAACTGAGGTTGCCAATGCACTTGCCAAGTAGACTTTAATAGGGCTGTAATGTTAATAAAATACAGTATAATAGTTTGTCATGTAGTGGCGGCGTAAGATATGGATCACTTACTGATATAATGGTCCATTGGAGTCAATTTCTTCTGTATCATCATCTGCTGAGGCTTTAATATCTTTCAATGCACCTAGCTCCTTATCATACTGAGCCAGCTTCATCATATATTCATCGTGTTTCTCCTGCAATATCGTACTGTGTTGACGTAGCTGTGTTTCGAGACTTCGCCATTTATCTAACTGATCTTTTATTTTCCTAAAAATTGAGACAGAACTGTAGATTTGACAAGATGTGTGATAGCATAAGAGAATCCATTACTCCACTTAGTCCTGTACATGTTGCAAGAAACAACTTGGGGAAATAGTAATTTTTTATAGAATAAGGGTGACAAACAAGTACACAGTTCACCTGATAGTTGCTGGATGCTACGTGAAGTGGATTTGATCTTGATAAATGGATACTGTGTCCCATAGACACATTTCTTTGCCTCCCACTTTCCTTTAACATGGTAAAGGTGATGGCTGCCAAATGTGTCACACTTGTGAATACTTGACTGCCTCATTGGTATAGTAGTTGTAAACTTAACTGCTGATGATGAGTTTGTAATCAGGCCAAAAAATCAGTTAAGTGTTGAGTGATTCTGTCAAAAAATTCACAGTAGAAGTCCGAAGTCAGACAGTTGGCGGTATTTTTACCTCAGTGCCTCGGAAAGCGCATAAAGCTATTAGTCATGCGCCTGATCTCCCTCTAGTTGTGTTGGTATGAGAGTGAGGGAATAGAGTGCACCTGTACTTGCTAGTGTATAGGTACTATAATCCTGTCCTACACAGGAGCTTGTCTCAGTTAAGATTGATGGCCTTGACCAAATTCGGTCTGGAGGAAATTATTACTTGTGAACAGATGCTACTTATGAAGTCTGGCCCATTTATGTTTGCTATGTGCTAAAAAGCTCCCAAATTTTTACATTAACCCTTGTTTTTAGTACCACAGGGCACGCTTATGAAAACAATGGGTCAATATAGAGGTTCATCTTATATAGTAACAATCCCCTTGCTTTATATAATTACAGGTTGTGAAGTATTCCATCTTAATCCTTAGAGGTGATCTGTAGTGCTTCTTGTTTAGTTGACCGCATGTGTCCACTGGAGTAGCTACTTACCATCAGGTGCCCCATATTCAGTAAAACACTAGACCAGCCTTACAAGTTACAAACTAATAAATGAACAAGGTAAAGGGTGTGACACTGTGAGGGTGTGACATTTTCAGTGACTACAGTCTGACCTTTGATAAATTCCACAGTACTAAAGCAACCCGGGTTCAATCTCCGCCTGCCACCAATGAAATGCTTGGCAGTGAAGGAAAACATTGTGAGGAAACCTGCATATTTGAGGTATATAAGTAATAAGTAATAAGTAAAGTAATAAGAACAAATATACTTCAAAGACATGTGAAGTTTGCCCACACATCCTCTCAGAAATGAGATGAAGCCTGTGCCCAGCAGTGAGATATACATAGGCTGTGTAACTTTAACTTTTAAAAGTGTAACCTTTGATCACAAAACTGAATTTAAAAGTTACTTACTCTTTTCTGTCTATCATCTCAGGATTGAGGTCGCTATCAGCGGTGGTCATTAAGATTCTAAGAGCATGAGCCTGTGTGACAGATTTAACCGTTTGCTGCTCAATATTAGTCCATGTTGCTGTCTCCTCATAATGTTTCATCACATTTGCTTTGTCCTCTTCAGTTATTTGTGGTGTAGCTATTAAATTATTAATGATAAGATGACAAGAATATATTTTATAGAATATACAAACAATTAGATACAATTTAATAGGTGTAACAACTGCATTTCTGCTAAGAAGTCCATCTGTGTATAAATGCCTTCACTGGTGTGTTCCTATGTGCCTGAAGGGTATAAAGATATAACTGGAGACTAAAGCATTCAACCTAAGTTTTCAGATGCCGATAATTATTAATAATTTACGAACATAGTAAGCAGCAATTAAACAATTTGTAAACGCGTCCATTTCGTGTATGTGTTTGTGACTGTACCAGTCCGGCGAGTTTTGTTGCTCAGGAGAGCGAAGAACGCTACAAACTGACGATTGGTTATGCGTATCGTCAGGACCGATGGTATACACTGACAGTCAGTTGAGCTCAAAAAACGGCCTTTCTTGTGAATCAAGTGAATCTCAAAAGACAATATGAATCTATACAAATAAATAAAATTGAAGTGTCTGTTAGTAATTTTGAAACAACTTTTTACTGAATGTATATGAAATGATATAAGGTACTTAAATATTCAATTTAAAAAAAATTGCCCGTTTTTTCTGGCTAACTTACGAAATGGCGGCACCCATTTTGATGGGACTTTACTGGTAGATAGCTGATATTATAAGTAGTAACTTTGACTACTTTTATTTTAGAAAAAGAATTAGGGTTCATTGGAAAAAAATTGAAACCAATGAAATTGTAAACAAAATCCAATTCAAATAGGGAAGAATTATAATAAATTACATGTAATAATATATAATGAATTATGATGAATTATACCGCCATCTATGGTGGCACTACTCCGGAGGCATGGAGCAGAAGTGCGGTGGTCTTGTTCTTCAAGGCGACAATGCTCTCTTGAAAAACCTACAGACCAATTTCCCTTTCGAGCCTAGTCTATGTGCTGTTTTCGAGGGAGGCCTATGTTCAGCAGTGAACTTGTGAAGGGCTGTAATGATGATAATGATGATGAACAACAATGAAGTTGCGGGCATAGCTGATAATAAATAAAGAGCTTGATATACAGAAGCCTAACATAAATATGGTATAATCCACCACCTCATTTCATGCCATGGATATTGTAAGAGTTAAAACACTCAAAAAAGAGAGGAAGTCTGTGCCCAGCCCAAACCTACTTAACAGGTTCCCTGTTCATGAAACAGACAATAGTTAAACAATAGAAATGTTCATATTTAATTGATGGGACAAGGAAAGGGTTAAAGTCTCCACCAATAAACTTGAAAACAAACTTTAAATTAACAATAAAGTGAAGTTACTGTATGTCAACTTACTGTGTATCCAATATGGCTGATATGTGAAAGGATGCTTTAATACAGAAATATTAAATGGAAAACTTAATTAATTAAATAGTGCAGTTAAAAATCAGGTTAACTGCACTATTTATAAAGTTAAGACGACAGTGGACACATTTTAGGATATATGAAGCCAAAAAACATGATAGTAGTTGATGAAGCATTTTAACTATGAAAAAGGCCTATCTGCTAATACCTCCCCCTATGTAAAGGGAAAAAAATTATAAAACTACAAAAACATTTGTTCACTTACGAGGGTGGATTGAAAAGTACTCGGCCTAACACAGATCCATTCAATTCTAAAAATCGAATCTACCCACATTATTTAGTTCAGTTCAGACAAGTTCATTGTGTGAAGTTCGAAACGTGTGCGATAATTAGTTGTGATTTTATAAATTTATTAACAAAGTAATCGGACATAATTTCCGCGAATGGAGCAAATCGAGCAGCGTGCCGTCATTAAGTACCTCCATAAGAAGGGGCTATCATCAAAAGCCATCCATGATGACATGGTCAGTACATTAGGCGATTGTGCTCTGTCATATTCATCCGTCAAAAAATGGATAGCAGAATTTAAGCGTGGTAGAGAGAGTGTGAAAGATGAACCCCGCTCTGGAAGGCCTTCGACGTCAACTACTGCCGAAAATATTAAAAAAGTACTTGATTTAATAATGGGAGACCGCAGATTAAAAAATTAGAGAGATAGCAGAGATTATAGGCATCTCTTATGAACGAACTCAAAACATCATTGTCAACGAGTTGGGTTTCCACAAGGTGTCTGCGAGGTGGGTTCCGCGACTGCTTTCAGTTGAACAAAAAAGGACGCGATTGACTATTTCACGCGACTGTTTGGAGTTATTTGAAGCCGATGCAGATGATTTTTTGAATCGTTTTGTTACTATGGATGAAACATGGGTTCTTTACTGTACACCGGAAACAAAACAACAATCAAAACAGTGGAGAAGACCTGGTTCACCACCCCTAAAAAGGCTAAGTCGATTTTGTCGGCAAATAAGGTGATGGCTTCAGTATTCTGGGACTCGAAAGGTGTGATTATGATTGATTATCTTGAAAGGGGTCAGACTATAAACTCTGATTACTACTGCACCTTACTACGTCGTTTACGAGAGGAAATAAAAGAAAAACGCCGAGGAATGCTCAGAAGAAAAGTCCTGTTTCATCAAGATAACGCCCGTGTTCACACGTCAGTACAGTCAATGGCTGAAATTCACAACTGTGGCTTTGAACTGTTACCGCATCCGCCGTATTCACCTGATCTGGCACCATCAGACTTCTTTCTGTTCCCTAACCTAAAAAAGCACTTGGGAGGTCCAAGATTTTCGACAAACGACTAGGTCAAAGCAGCTGTAGACACATATTTTGACTCTAAGGAAGAATCATTTTTTTTCAACGGTCTAAATGCTTGGAAGGAGAGGTGGCAAAATTGTATTGAACTTGATGGTGATTACGTAGAAAAATAAAAATATAACTGATTTAGTATGTGTTTATTTTCTTGGTTAGGCCGAGTACTTTTCAATCCACCCTCGTATTAGTGGAATAAGATAAACATATTGTATTATTTTATTATGTAATATTTATTATTATATGTATATTTTTTTAATAAAACTGAAGATAAAAAACAAACTTAAGAGTCCACCTGATGGTATTGGCTACTGCAACCTGCAAAGGCTACTGATGCATTATCAGCTCTGAGGACCTAAGATGGAATGCCAAGACCCTGTAATTATACTGGCTCTTTCTCTGTATCCTTCAGACCGGAACACAGCAGTGCACACATTGCTATTTTAAATGGTGTACACACGAACTGTCATCTTAAGGAATAAATCACCCAAAATGGAGATGAGTCCCTGAATTCTACTTAGTAAGGAAAATTCTTTGGATTCTTGATATACCTATTACATACAGTGCTCTTTAAAAGGCTAATGAGAATGATAAGCACAGGGTTCTAACTCAAGTTTCACGGTAGCGGAGTTTTTTATCTTAGCTGTGTAATTAAAACATTCAACAACTTCTATTGAGCTGCCCCTAGGGATATCAGGCTGTTTGCGTTCTATGAAATTTAGATCGTTCGTCATGCACACATTGCTATTTAGTGGCAAAAGTAGAAAAGATGGCAGTTTATATTATCTTGGGTTGGTTATAATCTACCCGCACATACTCCCACCCTGAGTCCAACGACATTGTAGAAAAATCTTAAATTAACCTATTCAAAACAATGTAAAAATGAAATCAATTAAAATTTTAATTCTTTACCAGAAGATTATAAAATTGAATACACGGGTTCACCTTCTTTTGAGTGCTTACATACCTGTATTACAAGAAAGTCATTCTTCCATAACATTAACAGTAAATTAAGTACCTTATTTATAAAACAATAGGTACTAAACTTTTACCAATTTCTCTCAAAACTAGATAAACGTAATGGAGCATGTCCAATATGGCAGAACGAAAAAGTTCTTGCATAGCGACGGAACACTGAAAAATTCAAGGTCTTCTATTATTTGAAATGCTTCAACTTACATGCAAGTGGTTTAGCTTTTAATAATCTCAGTTTGGATGTAAATAATGACATATCGCGCATTTTCTTTACGACCCCATCTTCAAAATTTTCTCCGACTTTAGTAGTAAATAACTGTGAAGAATCTCGTCGTATCTCCTCTTCGAAAGCATTGCTAACGTCTTTTAAAGCCGCAAAACCTGCCATTATTTTATTACACGCCTACTACACAAATTCCAAATCCAAGCAAATTGAAATTCAAAACCAAAAAGTTAAATTTCATTCGTCCGTTAATATTATTTTTTCAATTGCGGTAGGGAATAGGGATATTCGGATATTCATGGATATATCGAAGTTGTTCGATGTTTTCCGTACGATATATCGGATGGATTCGATGTTTTGACAAAAATTTATTGTACTCGACATATCGATATATTTATTTATAAAAACATCGAATATTTGCTTTTTTTTTTATTTTTTTGTCGAATCTTTTCAAATACTAAATAATTTTAACACTACTTGATGACTTTAATTTTAAATAAGGTTTATTAAGATAGTTACATCTGCGAGTGGCCAGCTCAACAACTCACGTCACGACAATGTATTGGAGATTGGACCAATTAGTCAGATCTATGATCAAGCCAAAGAGTATAGTAGGTTTATCCAATGTATAGTAGGTCGTTTCTATTTTATTTGCAAATGTAGGTATAACTCATCTCAGTCATCTCACCACTATCTTGGTAGTACAATTCTATTCAAGTGACATTAACAATCAGCTCAAATTACTATTATTACACTACTAGTATAGCTACGTCACTCTGGCCTCTGATTCTACATTCACAAATACATAATCAAAGACCACAAACTTTGCTCGTTTCACTGGAAAAAGGTAATAGGTATTAAACTTTTGTGGAAAGTGTTCTATACTGAAAAAATATCGATGTTATCTAGTGATATATCGACAAACATCGATGCTGTGATCCGATGTTTTACATCGAATATAAATTTCAATATATTTTTAAACGGTTTTTGCATATTATCTATGGTTTAAACCTTTCAACCACTTCTTTAGCCTTCATGCTTTCAACCAAAAACCCTCATACGTATTTAATACCCCTATTACACTACCCTGATTTTACGCCCTTAATCAATCATAGGGATGGACAAGTGAAAAAAGTATATATATTTATTGAATCGATATTTTTAAAGTAATTGTAACAAATCATTTACTGTGTTGGCCGTTCAAATCGAGTGTAGTTCGAGTTTTTGTGATTTTGAACTTGAGTTAACTCGAATCGTAATATTTCCAAGTAAGCACATCTATAGGATACGACATCGCTCATTAAAAACATCAAAGCTTATGTACGATATATCGATTTTTTCGAGGTTTTTTATCATCCTTTAAATATAGAAATACATACATAAGGTATAAATAATCATTTTGGACAGAAATGAAACAAGGAAGTATAATAGTCAAACATTATATTTATGTTATTTTAGGAAGTTTTACACTATTTATTTTTACACATTTAATTTTATCGAATAATTATCAGAAAACAAGAATTAATTAAATATTTTTTTACTTTTACGTTTATTTCTTTCGAATTGAATTTTAAAATAACAATTTTGACAACGTGGTGCCTAGTAAGTGGTTTCTCTCCTGGGTGATTATAGATCCAGCCTCTGAAAATAACCGCTCACGAGATACCGAAGTTGTCACGATAGGCAAATAGAGGACCCTTCATGATATCTCACATGTAATATTATATGAAACTCGTCTTCTGCTTCAATTTGATTTTTTATGATGTGGTGCGTTAATTTTTTATGGTAGTTACATATGTTACCTTGAGTATTATCACATTTTCTGAATACATCTACGAAACTATACCGAAATACAAACAGGTGAATAACCGATCATCCATAAAAATCAATATTTCAGAAAAATGATTGTAACGAAATACGAAGTACCGTAAGCCGATAAAATAATTTCCATTACAAAATAAATATTAACTTATAAGACTGTACTTAAGCTATTCATTAAGTTAAAGCTCAAACAATACAATTATTAATAAGAAAATGAATAAAATAATTTCAATCCACTGTCAAAATTTGTAAACTTATCTTAATTAATAATCACAATAAAAATAACTACAAATTTAAAGCGAAAATGGAATTACCGATAGAAGACAATTGTACTTCGGAAATTCAAGTATATTTATTTTCGACTGAAAGACCATTTGCCTGTTTGTTGATTCGTAATTGAAATTTTCGTTATTGAGTTATTTTTGCCAAATATTCGTAAACGTTCTAACTTTAAAAATTTAGACGTTATCTAACTTTGACATATTTTGTTTCAAATATTTATTTTTTGGCAACATAATATCCGTGATAATCATCGTTTGCAACTTTTAACATATGAAATTTTATACCTTCGTATAGTTGGTTATTTCGTAACCTTTAACGACAAAACATCGTTCATAAAACATAGTTCATGAAGAACCATGTTTAGGAACGATATATCGACGTTTGAAAGAAATCATGTATCGTTTGCATCCCTAGTCGCGTATCGAGTAAGTGCCCTAACTCACCTTAGTGTTAATACACTGCACGTTGGAGGGGCACTGACTAGCTACTCCCTTTCTCTTATTACACCACCCTGAATCAGGGCGTAGGGGGCCTGATTCAGGGTAGTGTAATAGGGGTATAAATAATGCAATTACTCTAAGTATGGAGTGTAGAGGTAAGGAGTGCAGACTCTGTATAAAAAATGGTCCGTACGAAAGCGCTAAATAAGGGTGGTGCCACTATAGCTATAGTCTAAATTTTAAAGAACATTTTATAATTTTTTTATTGCACAGACTTTCACCATAATTCTGTTTACAATAATCATTTTATTGCTTTCAAAATTTTTCATTTCAAAATCACTCTCAACGTATTTTGCAGCGATTTATCCTTATGATTTATCCCTGTAGCTACTTGAGCGCTGTTGTGAAAAGTTTTTGAACTGTTATTTACTGATTACGGATTTGACACATTTTCCACTATTCTCTTATAGGGAGATTGTCCTCTTTACCTATATACTCTATGACTCTAAGCAAAAACCAAAGGAAATAAAGGCAATGCTGCCACATTAAATTAGTGCCATCAAAAAATCCCTAGTTATAAGTGAATTTAATAAAAAAAAGTCTCCAAATGTCGCTAATTGTAATTTTGTTAAAGAAAACGAGAAACAAAGAAAAATCGAACGATATATAAAAGAATAAGATTTGTATAAGACCTAAAACTCTAACTTGACGTCAAATAATGCTGTAGAGTGCTCTTCTTCATCTTCACTCCCTTCATCATTATGGACAGTTTGAGATGTACAAGGTTCTAATCAAATGAAGGCTAGAGAACAGGAGAAAGATCACTACGTACTAGAACATAGCCCTCCTGTTCTTGAAAATTGTAGAATGCATAGCGACGCTGACGTCGGTGAGAAGTAACTGCGAAGTTAGCTGTTTATGAGTACAAGTAGATGAAGTTAGTTGAATAATGTACAAATTTTCATTTCATTTTTAATGAGAAAATTTTCATGCTCCGTAATTTTGTAATTTTTGATAAAAAGAAACATTAAAAATGGAGAAATATTTTATTGTGCGTGGACGTGCAAGTGGTTTAGCATCTGATCGGAGAAATCGACTCAAAATGACTTTTATCGACCGAACCTCGAGCGATCGCAGCGCCTCACTTATGGTGTCCATATTTCTGGACACTATTTTCTACAGTGATCGTTCTCCTGTTCTCTAACCTTCATGGCAATATCGTTGATCGTTTTTTTTTATTTCTAAATGAATATTTTCTTTCTATCTTTTTGAATTTGTGCTATTATTTCATCTGGTAGCTGATAAGTAAAGTAATTAGTGTTAAGAGTTTTACCAGTCAGTAAAACCAGTTAGTTTTGCAAAAACATAATGCTGTTTAACGTTGACAACGTCATTTTATTTCTTAGTTTAGATTTGACAATGTTTTTTGTGCTGAAAATCTTTCTACTTCAGTATTCGAATTGGGTAACGATAACACTGAGCTACTAGATCAGACAATTCTTCAAATCTGTGTGCTCCCTATGCATCTTTATATATTTTTTTCTGCCCAAAATTTTATGACGTCGTTAGTATTTTCCCATTTGACAAAGTTGACATTGTGCCATTGTTGGAGGATTTTGTCGATCTGGTTATCTTCGTAGCCTAACTCTTGAGCCAATTGAGACATAGAAATAAAATCTAATAATCTAAATGTTTGCCTTGGCGCAACTTACTTTCTACACTCAATAGAGTCATTTTTTCCAATGTGATGTTTGATGAGAGCCACAAACTAAATGGGAGCCTTGCCTGCAACTGTATCATACTTCATTCAAGAAACTGAGAGACAGGTTATTATCGTTTTTTTTTTAATAAATAGGTGAAAACAGCAATCCACCTATTCTGCGGCCCAAACCATCAAAATGCAGTCACCTCATTTCCAGTAAAAAGTCGTGTTTTGTTTCACTTTATCAGGACTTCGGGAAAGTGAATGAATGAATGAATAAAGTACTAATATGTACTAAATTTAAATATCAAATATTAAAACGGTCATATCCTACAGCAGATAAGAAAAAAGAAAAAACTGTATCTATGAAAGAGGTAACTAATAAGTTACCAAAGTTAGCATCTTATTTTACCACAGGAGCCTTTCTCTGAGTAGCAACCAATAAACTATTAGGCATAGAGCTCCCCGATAGATTAACACAAAGCACTGTCCTGAGCTACCTGCATCCATCAACTACCTGCGTGTTTCATCATGTCGCAACTCCATCTTGTGGAGCGTTTCCTAACACCGCACTTGCCAGTACGAGGAAGCCACTTGGGAACCTTTCTTCTATTCGGTTGCCGGATCTTCGTGCTATATGGATGGCCTGTTGACACTTAAGCTTACAGCGGTTATGTCAGTTACTCTTGTTCTTCTGTGAATATAGCAGTCACTCAGCGTGCGAAGCGAAGTCGACATTGAGTAACTTTAAGCTTGTAGTATATGTGTAGTGTATGCTCATTTAAGTATATACACGATAGCCTAAGAAACATTCGTCAGTATTTAATCTACATTCAAGACTACTAGATGTATCATTTATTCCCGAAGCTCCCAAGCTCCCAACATTACATGGCGACCATGCCAGGCCGTGCCTGCTACAA